AAATTAAATGCGATCTGTGTGTATATGTGTGTTGATGTCCAAACGTTTGCAGTCATATATAATGCTTCACTTTGGAAGACCAAATAGGAGAATGTTTTTCATTGTAATGTCACGTACCATAATTTTCAGAATTTTAATTAAAAGCATTTTGCTCAGACATTTAAGCCATGTGTCTTTAGTTACCATTACCTGTTCACAAACTTCGCTAATTGATCTTTTTACTTCTATAAGTAACTATAAGATATTGTAATCCGCGTAAAACCCTTTTACAAATGCATTTCTCCCAATATAAATAGCCATACCTCTGACAGTTTTCTGAATTGTCACGCTTTTAATTTCAAAAACGTTGATCTTGGAAAAGCTAAAAATTTTCAACTTGTTTGAAAAAAAAAACCCTCAAAGCTGAATTAATGAATGAAAAGAGCTGAATTAACGTGTTTACTTCTTTACCTTAGTGCAAGCTGATTTCTATTCTATTCCATTGCTTCTGTTTTTTATTTGCATGATTTCCATAAATTCAGGACAAGAGATCAAGAAAAATTTTACCATATAAATTACTCTGTAGAAGTTTCAGAGAAGTATTGATAACTTTATTTTTCTTAAAATTTCTGGCTTTTATAGACAGTATAGTCTATTTTCTTACATTAAAACCTGTTACTGGAATTAATGTATTAACACTGATTTATTTTTAAAGAAATACACAAATTGAATTGCCTTAAAAACCCAGACAGACAGCGTAGAAAATGTCGTCCATTTTGATGCTTCTATTTACGTCTAGCTTTTACTGCAGTTTCCAATGCAGTGAAAGCTAGAAGTAAATAGAAGATGAAACTAGAAATCTCATTGCGCTAAAACTGGGAAAATTTTGTCATAACATATTTTCTAAAGTCCATAAACTGAGAATCGCTTGGAATTTTCTTAGAGTTCATTTCAGCAAGACCTAAATGTATTAAAATTTATTAGAACTGCATCAGGAGATTAAATAAGGTTTGCTGAAAATGAAATATATCTCGTTAAAGTTTCTTGATCCATTATTCCTTAAGACATTTGCTCTTGAACCAGATATATTTTTCGAGTTTCCATTCATATTTTATTTTGTTTCACAGCTGCACAATTGATTTCATTTATGATTATGTCTGAAATAGCTGCTGTTATTGCTAGATGGATTAAGCTAATCGGCACCTCATTTTTTCTTTGATGACTGGAGATTAAAGAGAGCAGGTAAGTTGTGATTCTCCTTTTCTAAGTTTTGGAATGGTTACATTGTGACAGTAAAATTAATTGCATAATAGCAAAGAAATAAAAATAGAGATTTAAAATTCTGAAATTTGTTGCGAAAGCTTTAACCCCTTCCTGTTAATTCTTTGGTAAAAAATATGATAGGCTGCAACAATACTTTTTCCAATACCAGTGATATCCAAAAGAGTACGCCTAATATAGGTGAATACGGCTAATAACGGAATATTCAAATAAATGTTATTTTAAAGGTATACGGTATACTCTTACGGAGTCATTCACAAAGGCTTCCTCTTTTGGACAGATCAACCCTACATGGGGTACTTTTCATCAGTTAACCAAATCAAATCAAAAATTAATTAGAAAAATCAATATCACGTATTTTGCACAATTTTCACTTCGTTATTATTGCTTAGCATTTAATAAATATTCATGATATATTAACATTTAATATACAAAGTGGCGCAGGGAAACGGAGAATTTTGAACGTTACAGTTGGCAGTACTGTAGAGCCGGCATTTGTTCGAAACTTTCCTCAATTGTTGTGAGCGCATTGCCATTTAGTAGGACTGGTGCGGAACGTGCAGTAGCTGTGAGGGCGTTTTATAAAAATAGTGACAGTGTGACTGCCGCGCAGAGAATATTTCGACAGCATTACCAGCTTGGACGTCATGGACGTGTCCCATCTGCGCATGCGATTACAATGTGGGCGCGTAATTTTAAAGAAACAGGATCTGCCTTGAAAAAGAAACCCTCCACGTGGCATTCCAACGGTACGTACCCCAGAGAACATTGAAGCTGTTAGAGCCGCAATCGAGAGAAGTCCTCGCCACGCCATTCGACAGCATGCATCTTCAGCAGGACGGAGACACGTCACACACTGCTCGACAATCGATGGCAGCAGTTCGTCAGTTGTTTGGAAGACGCATTATTTCACGTAACGGTGACATTGAATGGCCTGCGAGATCCCCTGATCTTAAGTGTGTGCGACTTCTTCCTGTGGGGATATCTTAAAGGCAAGGTGTACCGTATACGTCCTGCAACAATCCATGAACTGAAGGAGAACATTGATAAAGAAATCACTGCCATTCCCCAAGATTTGCTACACCGCGCATTCCAGAGTTTTCATAACAGGCTGTTAGAGTGTGAACGCCGAATGGGAGCACCTCTTTCCGATGTCATCTTTAAAAAGTAAAGAGACACTTTTGGACCTTTTGATTGTAAAAACATAAATGGCATGCTGAATACATGCACTTTCGTTAATAAATACTAGTTTTATAAATTTATTCGTGGAAATGACGTTATTTCGAAATTTCCCGTTTCCCTGCGCCACCCTGTATGTAGCATCAATTGATAAATCATTGCAATCGGGTGAAAATAATGGTATCCTGAAGCAAATCGGTTTTGAGTTTTTATGTATGTTTATCTGCATGGAATTTAACCCTTTGACTACTAACGGTACATATATGTCCCAGTAAGAGGAACCTGTTTGCCCTGGAAATCGATTGAGATTTTTGTGTAAATCAAAGCCAAATACAAGGTTTCTTCTTTAACCCTTTGACTACTAATGGGACATAATGTCCCTCTGAATTTACCTTATTTATGACATATGTTGTTCACTTGGATAGAAAACTTGGTAATTTTTTTTAATTCGTAGTCAAACGGTTAATACCATAAGAAATGAAGGAGGTAAACGAAATCTTTGAATAAAAACATTTGTAACTCGACGCGTAATAGAGGGATTAACCTCGGTTCGAATCTCGGCGAATGGAAGGGCTGCATAGATATCTTAGCGGTTTTCTCCATATATAGTGCAAATACGAGCTCGTTTCCCGTAGATATTTCTCTACAAAGGCCTTTTTTCCTCTTTGGACAGACAGCTCTTGTATTCTTTTTCTGTACTTTTTAAATAAACAAATATTCTAAAATAAAAAAGGAATAAAATACCAGATTACCTCAACGGCTTGTAGTATCTGCCTTTATCGTTCATCGGAAAAGATATTTTTTTAACATTTTTTATTTTAAAAATCATTAATAATTATTTTTCTAAATATATAAATCTGCGAATAAAAATTATTATAACACCTATGATTTAAAATAGTTGTCTTTATGTAGTGTAAAATAAATTCATGTTCTGTGGATCCCCTGTAAGATGATAACTGATGGTTTTAGATGATTGCTGCTATCTCCAGAGGTCTTTAGAAATGTCATACCGATGATTATATATGTTCCCAGAAGTAGGTGTCACTTTCACAGGAGCTTGTCTGAGAGAGGTGGTCACCACTGAAACCAATGACAGCTTTTCAAAATCCATAAAGTTACTTTCATTGGTCGATGCCATTATTATTATTATCAGTTAGAGCAAAGAAACAAAAGTTGAAGCGATTATTGATCTTATGTAAGATGAAAATACGATACATTTAGAAATTAGTCGAGAAAAAACTACATTACATATGCTTGGGATTGAAAAGGCAATCCGAGTTTTCCGTCTAATTTGGAATTAAATTAATATTGAAGTTTAGTTGTTTGAGATAATAAATTGATACAAAAAAATTATGCCCCAGCAGAAATTCAAATATATATTGTGAATGATAATAAGCGCATACGTAGTCTAAAATTGTAGTTTGTAAGGCAAAACTTTATCCGACATGGAAAACAAACTGATTTTTACAAAGAGTTTTTGACACTTCTATCCTGTGTCTACGAGTTGCCTATTCCTTAATATGTATGAAAATATCTTTGAGACCTTCAAAGGACCGAGATGAAAAACTAAACATATTATGAAATGGAAAGTATCAAAGAAAAAATGTAATTTTGACTAAGTTTGTTAAAATTAGCAAAATGGAGTAACATATGTCATATAATCAAAATGCAAAACCATTGAATACAAAATATATGTATACTTGTTTTACAAGGAGAGCTAGAAAATTAACATATACAAGTAATATTGACTTAAAAAGAGAGACATTAATCTGGAAAATGTAATACTGTCAAGCTGTCAATAAACGCGATATCTAAAAAGAGCTTTTCCAGCAGGCCTTGACTCAAACTCTTTTACTGAGTAAGTGATGGTGATAAGGATAATCCAGTTCAAGTTCTAGATCCAAACGTATGCTATTTAAAAACAGTTTAATGTTTTATTCGATATGGCAATGCAAATTCCTTAATTAAATTTTATTTTCCAGAATAAGTATAGTTCTATAATTATAGAAAAATTTAAACAATAAGTATATAAATCATGTTTATTATTACTATACAGTTCGGCATTTTGTGGGAATATATTGCTTGAATTGATTTTTGTAAGTTCCAACAGAAAGCATTACTTTCTCTTAAACAACTGTTATGTACTTTGCTATTGTGATCTACCACCCTGCTTACCGTTCCTCATTACATTAAAACTATATTGTCGTTAAACAAAATACGTAATCTATCAACAGTATTATAAAGACTTCTCGAAACAATATATATGCGAGAAGTTTAAAGAAATATGCTTACTTTTTAATATTATTTGTTACTTCAGTTATTTATGAGCTGCTGGTTGTTAATGATACCTCTTCATAAGTATTCCTTTCAAGCTATTTAACAAAGTTTATTCTTTTCTAGTTATTTAAACTTGTCTAAAACATTATTTTTTTTTAACTGGTTGCTTGTTTTACAATAATTATTCTTTTTAACAGTGAATTAATTAAACACAATTCTTCTTTAAAATGCTTAAAACTTTCATTTTCTGACTATTATACAAATTATTTTCTCTCGAAAACACTTTTAAAAATGCGTTGAACATCAAAAACTTCATTTAAAACAGGATTAATATTAAGTTTTTAATAAAACAATTCATTAAAAATGTATAAAATCTACATGTCATTTATTAATTTTCCATTTTGGTGGTTTTGCTAAACTTGGCCTTTGCCGATCCCTAATTTGAACTCCATTAGTAGCTCCAGATTTGCTTTTAGGTACACCTATGCTGTGAAATTTAGAACCATCTATTATTCTTGTAACAGCTTTAGAATCAATGACTGGTGAATTAACACTGTATGTCCTATTTAACTCAACTTTCCATGGAGTAGTGTGCTCTACTCGACGAATTCTTGTCGGAATCTTGGACGGTTTCCTTGCTGTATAACGAGGAACTCCACTGGTTTCGTTCACAACCCATTCTGGGGTAGGCGTTGAGATTTTTGGAGTAAGCGTTCGGTAAATTGTCAAGGTATCAGCAAACCGAACTGTTTTTTTTGGCTGTGACGGTTCCGATTTCGTAGCATTTTCTAGAACTGATGTATCAATATCTTTCTTTGGAATTTCTTGAGATTGCATATCAGCTATATAACTACTACCCATTTCTGGAAGGGAGATCTCAGATTCTTCAGAAAATCGTCTCTGAGATTCTTCGGAAAGTCTCGTTTTACTGCTTTCAGATCTAAAACTGTCCACTGGGCTAATCCATAAATCTTCTGAAAGGCTTGTAGATTCAACATCACAAAGATAACTTATGAATTTCGGCTCTTCAATGTATCTTCCATCCTTTGTGTATTTACTGTGCACCTTTGAATTTGGATCTAACTGCCTCAAGCATAAGCCCTCGGGTGATATATATAATACCGGAGTATTTAAACTTAGTGGAGGATTTGAATCCTTCTTTTCTCCCTTGTCTTTTATCTTCCTATTTTCATTCCGAACAATTGGTATAGGAGAAAGGTCCCTTACAACATTAGTCCGGCAACAATTTAACAAGGTACGAAATTTATGGCGTATATCTTTTCTCGTTTTAAATACCAGGGCAGCAAAAAGACACGAATATACGTACCTGAACCATGTAAAAACTGTTTCGTATTTTGGAGTAATCTGGATAAAGATCATTGTTGTACTATTACGCATATCTGTGCTATCATTATATGTTTTTAAAGCACTTATTTGATGAATGATAATGTATGGCAGTTCTAAAATCAAATAGAATAAGCAAAGCCAGGCAACAAGTTTCAAATTAACCCATTCTGTCCACAAATCTCCTTGCATGAAAACATCAGAATAATTAACACCACGTTTCTTTCTTTGAGCTTTGTATTCTTTAAACTGCTTGATTCCGATATTTAGCAGGCAGCCCAGTCCAAGCACTATCATAAGACAGTAGCACCATATGGTGATAAACAGAGCATGAACGTATCCATCATGGCCTAAAATAAACAAATTGCACATAATTACAAAATTATTATTCAAATTATCAACATAAAATACGTGATACAACTTCCTTTAATTAGAAAGATTTAATTCGTATGTACTATTTATGAGCTTTTTAAATTCTCTCATTTTAAGACCTTTGTGATTGTTAAAAAAAAGTGTAAAGAAATAATGTAAAGTTATTACTTTTAAATCTTCATATATTTTAATTTTTTATATTTATATTTTTATTCAAAAAGAAAACATTTACTCAGTTTGCTTCTTATTAACATCAATTAAAATTTCAGAATGTCTCTCATTCAAAAAGCCAGCTGATTCACATTTAAATCTACTCTTTACCTTTTTCTTTACACAACTCACTTGACTAACATCATTGCTAATCATTACTAAGAGTTTCTCAAAGGGCGAAATTATTTTGGGAATCAACTATTAACCTCAAGCGTATGATATCTAAGAGTGTTTACTAATTAAAACTGCCTATTCAGCAACTAGAAATTAACTTTAGAAGCTACCTTTAAGTGTTGTTATTTATCGTCTTTTTTAATGCTTATTATTGAACACAAGTTAAATTCAAAACAAAGTAAAATCTTACACAGAATTTTAACACTACTTGTGAAGATACAACTAAAACGCAGTAGCAAAATAATTATTTGAAACTTGGCAGGTACAGCAAATTGCTTCCTAGCTAGTATTTGACAGGATTTTAATTCCGACGAACCTTATATGAAGTCTGGTCCGATGAAAAAATAATAATAATAACGATCTCGGCTAAAAGTCAGCGCTCAAATCTTTAAGTCTGATGGGCGGCTCTTTGCAGCAAGAGGCAGTATAGTGGCAAAAGCTCTCAGAATTTCCGTTACGATTACATCCTAGTTTTAGCCTAGGCCACTTGCCGTGCACTTTGGATAAATCTGTGGTCTGATACGTGACAAAGAAAGTCATAAAGAAAAGAAATCACACTAAAACTGTTAAAACTTATATACTAAATGTCACAACTGTAAGGGACACAAAATAATTTTATTGAAAACAATGATTCGGAAAGGCAATGAAATTTGGGGAAACTGGAAGTGTAACTCCATATTTCTTAAATCCGTTTGCGAAGTGTTAAATAATTATCTTCGTGACCACTTCTGCATACTTTAAGATAAACTGAAGTTGTTTGCTGGTGGCATGGGACATAGAATATGCTATGTTTAATATATATTTAGGGATAAGTCCTGGAATAATAAACACACATAATTATTTCAAGATTCTAGTGGATATAATTTATTTTGCAGATAGAACAAAAGCAGATTAAACGTAAGATCACACATGCAAGAAGTAAATGCCATTATATATATATTTTTTCAATAAAATATTAATATCCACTATGTTTAACACGACAAAATTTTATTCAAACTGAAGAGAAAAACCATAACCGCTTATGAAAAAAAAGTTCATCAAAGATCCTTTTCAATGATTTATTTATGAAAGTTTATACATTTTGGAAATCTATGGGTAATAATGGTTCCTCTGCTTCAAGAAGAGACATTAGAAGCTGCACGAGGGCTCAAGTTATTGATTTTATTTTCAGAAAGCAGTACAACTTTCTCCGTCTTTATGATATCCCTGCATATAATGTTTCAGTGCTACTTGTTTTCAAGGTATTACAGGAAAATTCACTGTATTATCATTTGCTTTAGAAATGATTATCGCAGAAAAATATATTTATGAGAAAAGCTACTCTCGCTGAGAGAGATAATTAACATAGCTAGCAGATTTGATCAGTAATCAAATTACCAGCTTCATCAAAGAACGTCTTTTTAGTAATACTTTACCAGGATATCCTTGAAGCAGTAATCGGTGTTACGTTGTTATTACATAAATTTACTGGGTTAATACAGGTAGTGGAATTTTTAACGTGTGTTTGAGCCTGATTTTTTATTTCTTTATTTATTTGCTACACTTTATGTTTATCCTTGTTGTTTATATCTTTACTTATTTGCTGCACTTTATGTTTATCCTTGTTGTTTAGCTATCTAACGTATCCTTGTTATTAATTGCTTAAATGTTACACATTTTGAGGAAATTTCAGTATTTAGACTAAGACAAATGATTACATATACTGATGAATCAGTTAGCTTTGCCTGAATTACTGTTTGGAAAATTTTCTGTGTTATGTTTTCAAGTATGATTTGAAGTGAAATTCAGGTTTCCAAAACAAGTTAGTTCCATAACATATTTAAGTATTTTATGGTATGGTTTATGAAAACACAGCTATTTATGGAATCTTCCAACGGTAACAGAAACTGAGTATTTGAATAATAAATGAATAACTTTTATGAATTAAGTTCTGTACATAAAGGCAGCAGAAAATTATAAATTTCGTATGAATAGATATTATTTTCTTTTAATAATATATTTTCCGATTATATCATCAATAATAATTAGTGGGAGAAAGACTGAAACAAAAATGAAAAATTTTTTCTGAAAACCTTTTAATAAAAATAAATTCCCAAAAGATTTAAAATTTCGGTTTTTCTTGTAATTTTGGTTTTCACAATTACTTTCTTATTAGTTGCTTCGGGAATTTTACCTTTTTGGTACTTCAAGTTACTATATATTAATATTTCTTTTTGTTAAATTTTCTTTGCTTTCTTCAAAATTTAATTATTTGCCTTCTTTCTGTTAATTGTTATTTTGTAAAGTGTAAAATACCTATTTTTTTTTTTTTCGAGTCGCATCAAGTTAGGCATCCTGATGAAAACTTTTTTTAATTTTTAATTTTAATGTCGGACTTCATAAAATTAATTTATTTTCAATTTATTAATGATTTTTGCAGTTCATCCAAAAGTAATTCAGAAACATTGCTCTGTTGATAATTCTTTCAACTGATTCTTGAGACCAAACAATTATCAATGTTTGCTTATTTATTTCGTTTATTTGTTAATTTACGTTTGTGTTAAGATTGATTTCCAAGTTTTTGCTTCAGGATGATTTTTGATTTGTTCGCTCTTCATGTTATGTTGCTTGCCACCTTTGGCAGATATATATTCTTTCTTATTTTTATCAAATATATACACTGTAGAATGATAAAAAGTTTGAGGTGATGACACAGAAGATGCTGAAGATGATGCACTAAGATCTGATGAATTTGTCGCAAGTTATACGTTTATTGAGACATATTTCATTAAATGAAAAACAATGAAACATTACAGAAGCGTAGACACAAACGTTATTCTCGATTTCGCATATGAAAGTATATATGCTACATATTTACAATAGACAGAAAAGAAAGGAAGCGAACAGTATATTACTAGCCCTGAGAAACATGTGAAGATGGCGAAGATTTCGATTTGGATGCTAGATAAAAGTTATGATTACGATACGGACGCTAAATAAGAAGTGAAGTTGGCGGTTTCAACCTTATTTTTCTACTAGTTAGTTAATGCTTGGTTTGCGTGTGTGTGTTTTCTTATTTAAATTTTTAACATTGCCTTTATATGAATAAAAATATGATATATATTTATTCTAATTTAAAAGTTTGTCCCATGATACCATCATTTATCAGGGAAGATTCCTTTTTATGCTTTATGAACTCAGTCTTATTACTAAAATTACAATCGATGAATACTTATAATTGCAATATTTGCTGCAAGAACCTTATGCAATGTTAGCATAATCAGCTAACATTGCATAAGGTTCTTGCTGTTTGCAAGAAACGTTTCCAAGAAGGAAACGTTTCTTGCAAACAGCAGCATATTAATATCTCATGTATAGTTAAATCCAATACATCAGTGTGCCGTATAGTAGGAGTAAATATATCCCTGTAAATAAGTACTGTAGGTTTTTGTAATAAATCTTTGAAAACTTTATCTAATCAAATTCAAGTTCTCTTGGTTACAATTTTCGAGCATACTGTACCTGCTTAGAATTCCATTTGGTAATCCAACATTGCGCATAAATTTTAAGTTGCATTAATTATCCTCGATATTTTAAGAATATATTGATCATATATATCAGTGTGTTATATACATGTTATTAAGTTAATATGAAACATTGTCTATTGAGAACATTTTATTTGACACACATTTGATAATCCAATTTCCAGACTTCAAGGTTTATAAACTGGAATAAAACTAGAACAAACTGAACTCACAGAAACATGCAAGGATTAGAATTTCCGTCAACAATAACAGCAAAAAAAAATAATAATTAACACCGCTTTTCATGTAAATATGCATAGAAACAGATAAGTGGATTCGTAGGTTTGGCTACAGAAAAATCAAATAAATTTTCGTCATGCTCATACAACCTATTCTGACTAATGATTACCGTGTATCCTCCTGATTTAAGAACGTCTGCTCTTGACTGACTAGTATGCATGTCAAATATTTATCTGTTCAGTTTTAAGATGTTATCTATGTAAAGTCATTAGGTTATTTCGAAGCAGGAGGTATGAAAAATGCACCTTACACTCGCCTTATATACGGGAATATATAGCTTTACTCCATCTTTTAATGGGCGATTGGGGATTAGGGGACACAGTCACCAGTTCCTGGTGGTGAAGAATCATCGTCCACCACCTTTTAGTTCAGGCGCCGTTAGTAGTGTTATTATGTTATTTTGAAACAAGAAACATGAAAAATATGCAAGGCCTGGACTCGAACCTGGACCTCTCGAATACACGCCAAGTGTGCTTCCAATTACACCATGAAGGCATGCGGTAAGGAGGGAAAGAATACCTTGTAGCTATTGGCGTAGCCTGTTGTTATAATAAGACCAAATTGTTTGGTTAGGTGGGTCGGGTTGCGCCCACTTCTGGTACCTTATAACTATTGGCGTGGCCTGTTATGAGCATAATACCAACTTGTTTGGTTAGGTGGGTCGGGCTGGGCCCACTTCTGGTACCTCATAGCTATTGGCAATTTCTACTTTTGAAAGTTATATGCATTACTGATGCAAACTGATTATTTGCATCGCATATTTTTAGTTTTAATTTCTGAAGAATACATGT